AGTCCCAATCTGAGCTGCTGACAAACACCCTGGACGTGGCTCACACGCAGTCTCTACAGATCGCCTCGTTAAAAGCTGTTCTTCAGGATACAGTAGCCTGGGATCCTACCTCTCCTCCGCAGCCCAGCAGTTCAATGCCCCGTCGTAAGCCACAATGGTCAGAGGTGGTGTTATGGAGCAAAAAAAGGACCTCGCTCGGCGTCGGTCTCTCATCCCACCTCAGCCTTTCCAACAGATTTGAGCCTCAGTCATCGCGGGTCGAAGCGCTGGACTCCGATGAGCTCAAGGATGATGCAGCCCGTCCCACGTCTCCCCATTCTGGGAGTCGTCCTCTGCCGGCAGCTCCCATCTCGGCAGCTCCCCTCCCGGCTAACAGCTGGCAGCCTCCCCGCGTGGACAGCTCTGTGTCCCCCCTCGCACACACCACGGAAACAGAGCAGTAACAGAGGAAACAGAGTCGCTTAACTCATAAAGGTGAGACTATGAAACTGAGCAATAACAAAGTTAACCGGTCACAAGCCAGTGCCAGGCCAAGAGCCAGAGAGCATTCTGCCAAAAACAAAGCTAAGAGGATAGACACTATTCTGACTGGGGATTTTATAACGAGGCAGGTGGAAATGGCCAGGACTGAAAATCTAACTGTGAATAACACATCAGTCAGAGAGGTGGCAGCTATGCTACCAGACATTATGTCTACATGGCCACATATTAAGAAGATTGTTATTCATGCTGGCTCATTTGACATCCTCACGAATAAATCTGGGTCTGAGACCCTAAAGAAAGACTTTTTGTTTTTATTGGAAACACTTAAAAAACTTCACTCAGGAGTGTCTTTCATCTCTGGACCTATCCCAACACTCGGTAGAGGTTGCGAGTCCTTCAGCAGACTCCTTGGCTTAAGCACCTGGCTGTCATCAGCTTGCCTTGAGCAACAGGTTGGATTTATTGACAATTTTAATATTTTTTGGAACATGAAAAGCTGCTTCATGTCAGACGGGATTCACCCAAACAACCTTGGCTCCAGATATCTTGGCTGCAACATACGTCACACCATCGAGTCATCTTATCAGAACATATATGCACTGATAAGCAGGAAGGTCAGCACACAGGGAGCAGACAGACAGACAGTTACTGCTCCAAAAACAACAACCGCCTCCCATGATGATGATGTCACGGTCTGTGACTCTGTCCTCCACATTACAAGAAACCTGCAGAGATTGTCTCTGTCCCAGAAAGAATGTCAAGACAAGAAGAGATAGGACAGTCACCATGCCGCTTTCCCCCTTATGCCGGCAATGTCACTCAGCCGGCAGCATGGCAAAAATAAAAACAACTGCAGAAAATCAAGGACAGTCAACCCATCAAGTCTGATATGTATCTCATGTCAAACACAGTCTGTCTCTAAACTTATGCCAGATAACGTTTCACAACTAGCACTTCTAAATATCAGGTCTCTGGCTGGCAAATCCTTCTTAATCAATGATTTTATTAACAAGCACAAACTTGATTTTATGTTTTTAACTGAAACTTGGCTAGGTCAGGAAAATAGTGCAGCAGTTTTAATTGAGACAGCCCCTCCAAATTTTAGTTTCTTTAGTGAAGCA